CTGGCCGCCGGGGTGTTACAGTGGGGAGAGGCCGGGTGGGCTGCGGCTGTCCATCTGGGGTGCCTGCAGAGAGAAGTAGGGAGCAGGGAATGAGGGGGTAGCCCCAGAACCCAACCAGGAGGCCAGGTTCTCCTACTCAGAATGCTGGGCCCCTACCTGGAGAGACCTGGGTCCCAGCTCAGGCCCACCAAGGGAAAGGTCCTACCTGCACATAACAGACCTCACTCCCACACCCCCATAACCCCTGGGGCACCTCCGTCAGCACCTCCGCACACTTCCCCCCCAGGGCCCCTCCCCAGGATGCCAGCTGGCTGCTGTGACAGCCATAGTGAGCAGTGGCACCTGCAGAGGCGAGAGCTCAGCTGTGGTGCCAGATGTCTCCGACCCTGTGGGGGCCTTTCTGGTTACTGGGTCATCTGCCAAGTGTCAGGCACTGCCAGCCCCAAGGAGAGGCTCAGTGTGGGCACAGAGTGTGGGCCCTGACCCACCAAACTGGCCATCAGGAAACCTCACCACTGGAGGCTGTCTTGGGTGGCACTGGATGAGGTGTGGTGCGGGTGGCCCCAAAGCCATGGGGAACTGCTAAACCAGCAACTCGTGTGGGAGGAGACAGGTCTCAGGACGCTAGGGCACCTTTGGTCAAGTAAAATTTTTACTGAGACTGAGAAAAGGAGGGTCATGAGGGGCCCTGGGTGTCACCTGTGTCCCTCAAAGGTACCAACTTGGAGCCATGGTGAGAGCTCTAGGTAAGGGCCAGGCCCTGACACCACCATTGACTCACCAAGTGATATGGGCGAGTCACTAATCCTCAGTGGGCCTCGGTTTCCTCATCTACAAAACACTCTGGAGGGCTGGGAGCTCAGAGCGGGCACGCGGGCCACCGGTCACAGCCACTCACCATAGAGCTGCTGGATGCCCCGGAGGTCGTCCTCGGGCAGCTGGAAGTTGTCAATGTCCATCCACTGGTAGAATGGTGCCATGATGGCACTGGGGTTGCTCGAATGTTCCAGCCCCAGCGCGTGGCCCAGCTCATGCACTGCCACTAGGAAGAGGCTGTTCCCTGCAGTGGGGCAGGTAGCGTAGTCAGCTCTGGCCCAATCCACATGCTCTCGGCCGAGGCTGCCAGAAAGCCGGCTTTTACACTTCCTGCTTGGAAAAGGCTGAGCAGCTCTGACTTCTGGCCTCCTCCAACCTCCCATCTGAGAAATGGGTGAAATGATCCCCTCCCACCTCCCCTCGGAGATGGTGGGATAGTAGTCCAAGGTCAAGCGCAGTGTTGGGAGACCTGCTTTTCAAGGGAAGCTCTCCCGCCCTGACTCTGTGGCTGCGGGCCCACCCAGAGGATGCTGTGCCCTGATCCGGCTGTTCCTGCCCTCCCCTTCCCTGGCCAGTCATCCTCACCATGCAGGTCAGTGCTGGAGAAGGTCCAGGGCTCATCGGCGTCAAAGTGGGTGTCCCCGCCCAGGCCAGGGCCAGGGAAATAGGCATGGGCCAGAAAGCCACCCGTGCCGTCAAATGGTGAGCTGTCGCCGTGGAAGCCAGAGGCAAAGAGTACCATGATGTCGGCCTCCTTCTGCCGCCGCAGCCGGATGTCCTCGTAGGGCACCTCCTGGAAGGCCAGCGGTGTGGCCTGCTCCCACACACGGAAGGCCCTGCGCACCGCCTCCAGCGAGTGGTACCAGCCCAGCTTCTCCGTGTAGTTCTGGATGCTATGGGCGGGGGAAGACACGTGTGTGGACAAGGGGCCAGGGCACTGCGGCACTTCCCATGGCCGACTGTGCACATATCTGAGTTGTGAGGGGCCAGCAGATGGTGAAGGGGTTACATTGCTGGAATCCCTCATGGCTGTGGTTTGAATCCCAGACCCAGTGGTTTGAAACTCACGCTGGGCGAGTGTGTGTACATGCCCAAGATCCTGAGAGGAGAATGGAGAAGGGATTGCAGTGTGCCCATCCCCTGGGGGATGATTTCTCACTTTCCCTCTTATTGTATCTCTCTCTTTGGTACGTGCACACATCCTAAGGCAAAAACATTTAAAAAAGAAAGGAAGGAAGGAAGGAAAAGATCTGAGGAGTGCACGTCGTCAGTATCAATAGTTTGTTGGCTCTGATGTGAGTTAGAACTCGAATTTGCCAACCTGAGCATTCATTAAGGCGTCCCGAAGTAAGTCTGCGCTGTGGCGGATAAGCAGGTTTTAAGTAAGAAAGTAACTAAAAAGTGCAGCTGCTACTTTGGGGGAGTATCAAAATAGGGGGCTGGGGAAGGGCCATGAGAGATGGGATGCAAATGACCGAGGTTTAGGCAACAGGCCAAGCAGTGCCAAATGTGGAGCTCCAGGGTCGGGCGGAACTGAGTTCTCTGTGACTTTGGGCAAGTGACTCAGTCTCTCTGGATTCCGGTTTCTTCATCTGGGAAGCAGGGAAAGGAGGTGGGCTGCTCTTCACGGGGCTTCTCCGAGGAGTCAATGAAATGACTGGAGAACACGCAGCGCAGGCTCGACACAGGCTTAAGTGTGTGAGGCCTGCTGTGACCCATGGAAATGGGATTCAGCTTCTTTGCGTGGACAGACTTCTATTAAATACAGAGGAAAGCTGGCCCTGTGGCCTAGTGGTTGAGGGAGTCGGACCCACAGGCCCAACTGCAGTTAGAATCCCGGGCCCCACTGCTTGAAAAATACATAGGGCACGTGGACAAGTGTGCCCCAAATCCCAACAGAAGGCAGAGATGGAGGAGAAAGGACTGTGGTGCGACCATGTCCCCTTGGGGGGTACTTTCTCCCTCTCTGTCTCTCTCTGGTGAATGAGGGCACCTTTGATAAATTTTTAAAAATCACAAATAAATGAATAAGTGCAAAGGGAGCATTTCGCTGATTGGATCACAAATTCACTAGAGGAGACCAAGGGACCATGAGGAGCTGCTCTTCTGACGGACTGGAACAGAAGGGCGGACCCTTGGGGACCACCATATGGCTCGAGGTGCACTTGGCGCAGGGGTGTTTCTTGTTCAAGGACTCGGCAGCCAGGAGGAGAGCAATCAAAGAAGGGTCCTCACAGGGGACTGCTGCCCACCCATCTGAGGGATGCCCTCCAGGAGATGCCCACACCCCACTCTGCTCCTCTCTGCTGTTTGTGCTGGTGCTGGCGCCCATCTGGGCTGCAGGAGGCCAGCTCCTGACGGCTGGCCAGTGGGAGGGGGTAGAATAGGCAGAATCAGCTTGAATGGTCCTGACCTCTGCAGGGAGATGGCCTAGACGGTGCGGTGTGGCTGGTCTCATCATCGTAGGAGCTGATGGGAAAGGAAGCCTGAGGCCCAGCCTGTGGAGGGAGGGCGGGGCATCTCCCTGGGCAGTTGGTCCCTTACCTGAAGGTCAGGTGGTGATTGGTCCACTTCCTCCCAGTGAGGGCATAGCGCTTCCGCCGCCGCAGATTGGCTTTCACACGTACCCCGAACTGGTCTGGCACCCCACAGCGGGGCCGCTTCATCCACCTGGACCACAGGAATGGAGGGGTGAGCTTGGAGCCTCCTCCCAACACACCCGCCTGCTTTGGTGCTGCCTCCTCCAGGCAGTCCACCTTCTAGGCCCCTCTTGTTCTTGCCCTCCTAGCTTCCCCTTCTGTGGCTGTGATGCAGGTGGGAAGGCTCTCAGCTTCAATTTCCAGCAGAACAGGCAAAATGATCCTGTATTGGAAGACTGAGGCCTAGCAGTGGCTTGGCAAAGATGAGCTCCCCTTCACCTGCATCACCCAAGAATGGAAGGGTTGCTCTTGAGGCCTCCTGTCCTTGAGATGTTCTACTCTCTACGCTTTTCTCAAGGACATAGCTTTAGGTCATGTCACCTCCGTTAAATTCAGAGCAAGACCTAGCCACACTGTCCCATCCAGAGCTCATGTACTACAAGGCCCCCCTTCTCATGCCTGTGGCAGGCATCATTAATCGATCATGGTGCTTCTCGCTGCCAAGATTGGATTCTGCCTCAGGAGCTTTCTCAGCGTGAGGCTTTGGGCAGCCATTCCAACCAATCAGAATTGGCATAGAAGACCAAATCATTTTCCATCTTTTATCTGGGACAGTCATCTAGAAACTCTTTATATGCCAATTCCCCCCAGAAAGGGGGCAAGTGCTGTGGGGTGCGGGAGGGCCAGATGGAGGGACTCACGCCTTGGTCTCTTCATCGAGCACACCCGTGACAGGGATCCCATAGAAGCGCTGCATCTCTGCGAGGGCTGAGGCCAGGATCTGGGCAGAGCGCATGGTGGACATGTGGCGGCTGGGCTGGGGCAGGTAGCCATAGAGTCGCAGCCAGTTCTGCAAAGAATGGCAGCCCTGTGAGCAGGTCCTGGCGCAGATGCCTCCAAACACGCACACCCTGCACCCAACCAGCCCTACCACCAGCACCTCCTGCCAGGGTGACCACAGGAGCCTCTGTACCCACCCCCTTTCCATCTTCCTAATTGTCTACTTTGATGCAGGAGCGCAGTCAGGCCAATCTTCTGCTTAGAACCATCCAAAGAGTTATTTTTATTTATTTATTTATTTAAATTCACTGCAGGGCACTTGTGTTTGCCAGAGAAAGAGACAGAGAGAAAGAGACAGATCACCTCCCGGGGGACGGCCATGCATTCTCCTCTTGGGATTTTGGACACACGCGCACTCATGCCCGGTGTGTTTTAAGTCACTGGCTCGGGGCCTCGAACCACTCAGTAAGCTATGTTGGATCCAGCCACCTCAACCATCACGCCAATGGCTGGCCCCGAGTTCCTATCTTGGGTATGGCTGTGGTAGCACAAGAGTGAAGAGCTGCCGTGAGAGGCTGGGGTCACACAGGGGGCCGGGGTTCAGAACCCAGATGGACCTGGGGAGGCAGGTCACGGTGGTGCACACCTGTGACCCTGGCTGGCGAGGAGGCATGGACAGAGGATTGTGACTTTGCCAGGAGATGCCCTGCCTGGCAAAAAGTACCTGTTTCTCATAAAAAACTGAAAACGAAACTCTTTCCATCTCAGAGGAGCTCCATGGCCCTCCTGACCTGACCCCGCCTTAGCTCTCTGACCTCTTTCCTACCATCCTCCCCACCCCCAGCCGGCACTGTCCTGCCTCAGGGCCTTTGCACGTGCTGTTCCTCTGACCTGGAGTCGCTCCCCTGTATGGCTTACATCCTCACTTGCAGGTCTCTGTTTCAATGTCACCTTAGCTGAGAGTTCTCTGACATTACGTAAAAACGGCCCTTTCAGGTATATCCCAGCCCCCTCCTCCCTCCCTGCACGCCTCACCAACTGAGGTGCCACACGTCGCATTAAGGAGTTTGTCCTCTCCTGCTGGGACAGGCCCCATGTCCACCAGGACGGTTCACAGTCCTTATTACTGTGCTGACTCCTCTGGGGTGGACCCCGGCCACTCCAAGTAGACTTCAGGGAGCCTCTAAAGGGTTCGGAATCTTTTGAGGCCTTGCCAGGTAGAAAACCCAGCCTCTGTTACTTCTCCCCAAAACACCCTAAACCTTCTGGAAGTTGAGCAGACAGATTCAGTAGAGCTGATCCAGGCCGAGAGGGTGGGACAGAGGCCTGAAGCTCAGTTCCTACTCTGCCACAAACTCTTTTTATCCCTGGGCCTCAGTTTCCCTGTTTAAAACAGGGGGCTATGGGTTGTTGGGGGGAGGTGCTATTTGAGGCAGATCATCTTGGGAAAAGCGTCTGGTACACAAAGAGTGTGCCCAACCCCTTGCACGGCTGCTGGGCCAAGCTTGTCCACGGGTCCGTCCATCCAGCCACCCTGTCGAGTGTTTCTGAGGACCCTCTCTACACCAAGCTCTGCCGGTGAGGGGGACCAGGACTGAGGTGACCTGACCTCCAGGCTCCTCCAGGCTCCCTGGAAGAGCAGCACACCCACAGAGCGGTCTGTTCAGACAAGCTACTGCGGCCGCCCACAGCTAGAGGGCAGTGCCAAACAGAGTTACAGTAAGAAAGGAGACCCTTCCCTGCCCACCTCATGCCCTCAAGGCCACGAGAGAGGGCATGGTGACCTCATGCCCTGTATGGGAGGTGATGAGCAGGGGAGACCAGGGGGTCCGATCAGGTGCCTGATCTAGGGGGCTCCAGAGTGAGGAGACCTGAAGGCCTGCTCTCTGGGCAGCTCTGGAAGGCGAGGGCTGAATACAGGGGGTGGCTCACAAGGCAGGAAGGGGCTGGCCGCAGTGGTTCTCTGGACCAACAGCCACGCATCGGCTGGCCAGGGCCACGCCCACATATCTGTCTGCCACCAACATCACATCTAACTCCTGAGGCACTCGCTCCCTCAGTGCCATCTGCCAGCCCAGTCCTGGCACCTGGCCAGGCCCCTGGTGTGGATGGGCTGTCCATACCCGCCAGCTCAGCAGT